AGTAAGTATTGATTGTGCAACTATTGTGTGTTCAACACAGAATTAGATGAGGTGTGTGTCTCAAGCTGGGTTCTCTAGAGAAGCAAAACCAGTAAAGCGTAGAAATATAGAGAGAGAGATTTATATCAAGGAAACAGCTTATATGATTGTAGAGGCTAAAACATCCAAAGTCCGTGGATCAGGGTAGAGGCCTCTCCCAAGTCACACAGCCACAGAAGCTGGCAGGCCCAAGATCGGCAGGTCGGAGAGCAGGGTTCCTGCTCACAGGCTGTGAAGGTTGACAAATTCCAAGATTGGCAGGCAAGACCACGAGCTTTCTCCTGATTCACATAGCTGCAGGGGCTGGCGAACCCAAGATCAGCAGGTCGGAGAGAAGGGCTCCGCTCACAGGCTGTGAAGATCGATGAATCCCAAGTTTGACAGATAAGCTGACAGCTCAAGTCCCAAGAACTGGAGGTGAGATGACAGGAGGCAGCCACAGGATCCAGAGTGAGCAAAAAGCCAGAACGTCTGCATATATTCAGATGCAGGCCACACCCCCAAGGAGACTCCCTTTCATCTGATTGGCTGCTCACAGTATATTCAATCACAAGAGTGATCACATTAAAACACTGAGAATCATGGCCCAGGGAAGTTGACACACAATCTTAACCATCACAGTGTGGGTCATGAAAGATTTGAACAAGCGTAGTGCCTATCATTTCATGTCTTTTCACTTGATGTTGCTAGGTAAAGATCAAGGAGGTTGAAATGACCTGGTACAAGTGTAGCTTGGTTTTTAGAAGCACTCTTCCTATGCTCCTAAGAGAATGTTTCCTTCTGTGGAAGAGGATCAGAACCTCTAGCTCCTCTAATTCCACAGACCTTACAATTGCTTTGTATTTATCTCACTTTTAGTGCTAGGAGATAGAAATGGATTAATTTGTCCTGTATTTTGGAGGGTATGTGTCTCAGTGCCCAACTCCAAGATCTCTAAAACATTCACTAAGGTGGTGACCCCTGAATCTGCATAGGGTTTATCTCACACCATGGCCTACAATGCATTTGCCACTTCTTGCTAATCTGTTTCAATTATCATGATGTATCAATAAAGTAGGCCAATGGATGTTCTGTAGATTTTCCAGATTGTATAAGTCCCTGTGAACTACATTTATAACTGAAGGACAAAGCCATAAATGTTTATTTTAGTCCATCTCACATGAAAGAGAAGTCTTTCTAATCTTCCTTTCTAATAGGGATGGAGAAGAACACATTTGCTAGACCAATGACTGAGTACCATATACTTAATATCTCTCTGGGACTGTGTGTAAACATTTCACATGCTTAATGTTTGTCTGTATAAGGCTTTCTTTATTTCTTTTACAGGGTCATTTCCAAGCTTTCTTTTTAAGCATGTTATATATGAGAATATTTTAATAACTGTTCTAATATTTTATTCAGTATTTTCAAGTGTTGATAGCAGATTCAAACTAATACCTAACCAATTGCTGTCAAGTCAATGCCATCTCATATCAGCCCTATAGGACAGAGTAGAGCTGCCCAATAGAGTTTCTAAGGGTGTAATCTTTATGGAAGTAGAGTACCACATCTTTCTCCTGCAGAGTGGCTGTGGGTTTGAACTGCCGAACTTTCGGTTCTCAGCCGTATTTTTTATGCAAATAATGCAAGCCTTCTACATTTTTTTGCCAACTATGTCCTCCCCCTGTTAGGTATTTTTCTAAGTGCACTGTGCTTATTTTTTACTGCCACATGTAAAAATAATTAGCGTAGCATGCTTATGGAAATACCTCACAGGGTGAGGGCATGGTTGGCAAACAAACGTAGAAAGTGCGTGTTATTTGCATAAAAATATGGTAGCCACTGCACCACCAGGGCTCCTGATAGCAGATTAGGGGTCTGTAAAGGCTTAGTCTTCCATATTTCTAAAAACAGAACTGAGAATATTTTTTTCCACAGAAGTCAGTTATGAGAGAATAAATAAAATATAGTAGTTATAGTGAAATTTATCGAACAATATCATTAGTATTACATGCAAGTAAAATTTTGCTAAAGATCATTCAAAAGCAGTTGCAGCAGTACGCCAACAGGGAAGAGCACGTGGAACCAGGGATATCATTGCAGATGTCAGATGGATCCTGGCTGAAAGCAGAGGATATCAGAAAGATGTTTACCTGTGTTTTATTGATTATGCAAAGGCATTCGACTGTGTGGATCATAACAAATTATGGATAACATTTTGAAGAATGGGAATTCCAGAATACTTAATTGTTCCCATGAAGAACCTGCACATAGATCAAGAGGCAGTCTTTCAAACAGAAAAAGGGGATGCTGTGTGATTTAAAGTCAGGAAGGGTATGTGTCAGGGTTGTATCCTTTCACCATACTTATTCAATCTGTATGCTGAGCAAATAATATGAGAAGCTGGACTACAGGAAGAAGACTTTGTCTCACATACCTTGGACACATTATCAGGAGGGACCATTCCCTGAAGAAGAACATCATGCTTGGTAAAGTGGAGGGTCAGCAAAGAAGAGGAAGACCCTCAATGAGATAGACTGACACAGTGGCCGCAAGGATGGACTTAAGCATAGCAAAGATCGTGGGGATGGTGCAGGACCGGGCCATGGTTCACTCTGTTGTACATATAGGGTCACTGTGAGTCGGAACCAACTCGACGATACCTAACAACAACAACTTAGTGGCCACAGGTGAAATAAGGTGTGGGTGTCCTTGCGTGTGTGTGTGTGTGTGTGTGTGTGTGTGTGTGTGAGACTCTTATGATAGAAATACACAAGTATTTTAGTTTATCATCTTCAAAGAGGAAGTTATTGGGTGTCTTATTTGGTTATCACTGCTGTAACACAAAAACAATAATTTTCCAGGTTATGAACATCCGACTTGCGGTGAACTCATATTTGTCCTTGAGTGTTATGTGAATTGCCCTCACTTTGAAATGATTGAACCAACCCGTATTCGAAACAAATCCGTCACTTGCTACATGTGTAGCTTTTAAATCATTGAAAAGACTCCAGCCTTTTCTTGCACTAAAAAAAAAAAAAAAAAAAATTGCCGTTTAGTTAATTCCAACTCATAGCGACCCTATAGGATGGAGTAGAACTGCCCCATAGGGTTTCCAAGGAGCTGCTGATAGATTCAAACCGATGACCTTTTGGCTAGCCGCCGAGCTCTTAACCAGTGTGCTACCAGGGCTCCTTCTTGCACTCAAGTAAGCTAAGTAAGAACCTATGTACCTGTTCCAACTTACCTACAAATAAGGACACACTTAGGAACAGATCTCGTTCATAACCTGGGGACTGCCTATACCACAAATAGGTGGCTTTAAACCCAGAAGTTTATTTTCTTACAGTTCTGGAGGCTAACAGTCCAAATCAGGGTCTCAGCCATGTCAATTTCTTCTGTGTTGGTAGCCGCAGGCATCTCTTGGCTCCTTGGCATTCCTTGGCTTGTACACAGTGTTCACATGGAGTCTGTCTTCCCCCTGTGTGTGTCTCTGTGTTTATTTTGCTCTTTTTGTAACTCAGAAATGATTAGGTTTAGGACCACCCTGCACTGGTATGACCTCATTATCATAAAGAAAAAAACTATTTCCAAACAGGGTCACATCCACAGGTACAGGCATTAGGATTTTAATACATATCTTGGAGGGACACCAGTTCAATTCATAACAAAGGAAAAGATGAAATATTCAGAACACAATCAATGCCCAACTGAGTCAAGCCCTGGAAATGGAAATAAAGGTCCAGAAAGGACTTCAGTTGGTTTAGCGATGGGAAATGAGGAGCACCAAACACATTTAGGGACCTTCTTCCTCAAATTAATTGATTAATTTGATCATTGTCCTACAGATCAAATTCCGAGGCCTCCCCATTTTGTTTTCTATTATCTTTTGCTTGGAATAAAGAGAATTTTGAAAATCTTTTCACTGTTAAGAAATTTACCTTCTATTAATATTTAACATTTAATACAAGTTTCTCTGGGGAAAGGGCTTTGAAGAACTTTTATATCTGTTAAGAACTGGGCACAAAATGATCATGTTTATTTTGTCTTTTGTTATCATTACAGAGGGAATAGGCTTATCGAAGTAGACGCTAATAACTTTCTTACTATTAAAATTGCCTTGGGGCTAATCTCAAGTTAATAAATTTAATTTGTTTCCTTTTTGAAATAAACTTGTGTTGTTCATTTGCCAGCAGAAATGCATGGTTATTTAGGAGATTTTTGCTGACAAAGTGTTTCGAGGGAACCCATAATTTTGAGGACTTGTACATATAGATTTATTAGTAATCCCCTTATCATAATTTGAGAATTTTAATGCATTGGTGGTTTGAGAGTGGCACAACAGACAAAATCTTATAGCAGATGAATCACTGGTTGATGTTACTTCATTTTTAAATTCTACTTTTCAAATTTGCCGATGAAATGTGAGTAATTCCACTGCCTTTGTTGGAGTGCTAATTGTTCTTTTGTCTATGGGAAGTTTCAGACTCTGTATATTATTATAATTAAATTCAAGATACATTTATTTAAAGCCTTTCGTACTATGTAAATATAAATGTGAAGTAAATACAGTGTATATTTTTGGGTAAATGACTGTGTAGGAGACATGTGAGACGTGTTAATAATACGGTGTAATAACGGATCAAGCCGAGAGGATGATAAGTAGGTTAATTGGAATTTACGAGTAAGAAAGGCTTCCAGAAAGAATTTCTATCTGAGCTCCAAGTTAACACAACTAATTGGTAAATATGCTAACATAAAAAGACAAGATTAGAAAAATCAATGTTCTGTATAGTTCATAGAGTGCTTCCAATTTTTAAGATGTCATGGTGGTGTATATGAGCTTAGCACTGAGCAGCACAGGTCTGTATACAGAAAGTGCCCTAAGAAACCCTACAGGATTACAGAAGTTTTTCTCAAGCACATGTTGCCTTTTCTACCCTCCAAGGTGCTAGAGGAAACATCTTTCTCTGTCTATGCAGGAGCCCGGTCCTGGTTTTCCAGTGTGACTTCCGCCACGTGATTTGCTTAGACTGTTTCCACTTGTACTGCGTGACAAGGCTCAATGAACGGCAGTTTGTCCACGACCCTCAGCTCGGCTACTCACTCCCTTGTGTGGGTAAGTCGTATCTTTTTTATTTTTTTAATTTCTATTGCTAAGTAAGAAAAGAAGAACTATTGATGTAGAGCTATCTTAGAAATACCTAATCCCTAGCAAAGGGGTTGAAATTTCAAATACCAGTTTGAGCAGTGCTGAGTAAGAAACATTAAGGTTTGGATCGCAAAAGATATGAAACCCTGGGAAATGGAGGGACCTGTGTTGAACTGGAAAATGCATAACTTGCGCAAAGGTATTAAAAATAAATTTTGAAATATTACCCACCCAAGGCCCAGAAAGTGAGTCTGCAGGTCAGATTTAGCCTATAGGTTAAGAGATTTGTTACCCTAGATCTAGAGAAGTATTGTCCACATTTTAAAAATGTGCATCCCTATCATTAAGAAAATGAATACATACCCGATATCTGAAAGAATATATATATAAATGAAATAAAAATGAGATAAAGCTGAATTTTTAACATTTTAAGTATTTAAAAAACTTCACATTGGAAAACACCCTTTACTTGCACTATACAGGCAGTCCCAGAGTTACAGAGGAGATGCATTCTTAACTGTCTCAAGTCTTTTAAGTCAAATTTGTATGTCAGTTTAAACAGGTGCAGACAGTTCTTATTTAGCCTTACATGAGCAAAAGCAAAAGCTGGAAGCCTGTTCAATGATTTAAAAAGCTGCACGTGGAGCAAGTGAAGGGGATTGGGAGGAAGAATTTGTTGTGAGTAGGAGCTGGTTCAATCATTTCAAAGTGAGGGAAATTTACGTAACATTAAAGGACAAGTATGAGTTGTCCATAAGTCAGACATACGTAACTCAAAGACTGTCTGTACTATTGTTATTACATATATAGTAAATATTTCTCCTCAATAAAACATATGTATGTATGTGTGTATGTATACATATGTATATATATATTCAATTATTCAATTTTGAAATAAATGTGTAAGGCAACTTGCCCAAGATAACACAGGAAGAGGTAGAGTTGGTATTTAAACCTAGCGAATCAGACCCCAAAGCCCATTTTCTAACCATTATTATATATAATTGCTCTTACTTCAAGCTTCCATTTTATTATTTCTCCCCTCTTCTGCCCCTTGTCTCCAAAGCTTTCTCTCTGCCATCTCTATTTTCTCTCTTCCTCCTTCTTCCAGACTCTCCTTTGGTTCATTCCCTACCTTTGTTTTCTCTCTCTTGCCTTTGTTTTCCCTTTCTCTTCTTTGTTCTTTGTCGCTAATTTTTGTTTCTCCTTCAGTCTCTCTTTGTTTACGTTCTTTCTGCTTTAATTGGTTTTTTCACTACATGTTCATGGGCATGCCACTGTCCTCTATGTCTCCAAATATTTATTTTCTATACAATAAGGAGAGCATGGTAGATAATCAGTAAGGTTGCTTATGGATTTGGCATTATATGCGTATGAGTACTATACATATAAAATAATATATTATATGGTTTTAGTGATTTAATTTAAAGAAGGTAATTCAAATGTCGTCTACTTTTTAAAATAATGCAACTAAAGGTTAGTATTGATATTTATTAGTTATATTACCCTCCTAGGTGTTTGCATTTTTTTCCTTGATGAGAAAAGGACAGGGAAAAGAAGAATTCTCATCCATGATTTGGAAATCTGAGCATAAATCTTGTCATGGTTTGAATTGTGTCCCCCCAAAAATGTGTGTATCAATTTGGCTGGGCCATGATTCCCAGAATTGTGTGGTTGGCCTCCATTTCTTGATTGTAATTTTATGTTAAAGAGGATTAGGGTGGGATTGTAACACCACATTTACCCAGGTCACGTTCAATGTAAAGGGAGTTTCCCTGGGGTGTGTCTTGCACCACCTTTTATCTCTCAAGAGATAAAAGGAAAGGGAAGAAAGCAGAGAGTGGGGGACCTCATACCATCAAGAAAGCAGTGCCGGGAGCACAGTGCATCCTTTGGACCGGTCTCCCACGCAGAGAAACTCCTAGTCCGGGGGAATATTGACGAGAAGGCCGACAGAGAGAAAAAGCCTTCCCCTGGAGCTGACGCCCTGAATTTGGACTTTTAGCCTACTTTGACTGTGAGGAAATAAACTTCTCTTCGTTAAAACCATCCACTTGTGGTATTTCTGTTATAGCAGCACTAGAT